TTTATTTAAAAGAACAATCTACTATTTGAGGAAATAGGCTCATTGTAAAGACCTTCTAGTGTTTAACAGGGAATTTTAATCATTTTTTTAATCCATTCAGCTGATAGCAAAGTCTGGCGGGAGCACTTTTAGCTTAGCTTAGCATAGATTATTGAATCTGATTAGACCATTAGCATCTCGCTGAAATCACCAAAGAGTTTAGATCATTTTCCTTTTTGAAAATGGTAGCTGATTTTCAGGCAATGCATAATATCATTGGACCTACTGCAGCCAATGGTAAGACAGCAAAATTTCTTTATTATTATGCTAAAATAGGTATAGTCTGAGCCATATTGACCTAGAAACTAGGTCGGACTTTTCATTTTCCATCAATCATGATGTAATGTGGAAGAAGAGTCAAGCTTTAATTAGGAAAAATCATCAAAAATTTTGGGTTATTTGAGTGAGATGCTAATGGTCCAATCCGATTCAATTATCTATGCTAAGCTAAGCTAAAAATGCTCCTGCTAGACTTCGAGATCAGCCGAATGGATCAAAATAGAGGACAAACTTTAGTGGAGTCGTAAATGAAAATACTTAATAAAAAGTGGAGTTTTCTCCACTATTAAACCTGTTGTAACTTGAAATTGTTAAGTTGACTTGATGTAATTTGTACAATTATGCAAACATTTACTTAATTTTAAGTCAACTAATCGATTTTTATAATGCATGTTTACATAAACTACAGCAAGACGCATTGATAAATAGCTTGAGATAAATAACTGGATGGATTAGACAGCCAATGGCACGGCCAATGGTATGGCAGGAAAATTCAGATTGGACCATTAGCGTCTCAATCAAAAGTGACCAAAGATTGCAGCCAATGGTACGGCAGCAAAATTCCTTTATTATTACTATGCTAAAATAGTTATAGTTCGAGGAAAATTGACCCTGAAATAAGCAACTTAACATTTTCCATCGATCATGATAGAGTCAAGCTTTAAATAGGAAAAATTATCAAAACTCTTTAGTAATTTGAGAGAGATGCTAATGGTCTAATCGGATTCTATTATCTATGCTAAGCTAAGCTAAAAGTGCTTCTGCTAGACTTGGAAATCGGCTGAAAGGATCAAAATAGAGGACAAACTTTAGTGGAGTCGTAGATGAGAATACTTAATAAAAAGTGGAGTTTTCTCCACTATTAAACCTGTTGTAACTTGAAATTGTTAAGTTGACTTAATGTATTTTGTATAAATATGCAATACAAAAGTGGCCAAAGATTGCAGCCAATGGTACGGCAGCCTTTATTAATACTATGCTAAAATGAGTATAGTCCGAGCAAAATTGATCCTGAAAAAAAGCTTCTTTACATTTTCCATTGACCATGATGTAACTAGAAGAAGAGTCGAGCTTTAAATAGGACTAAATTCTTTAGTCATTTGAGTGAGACGCTAATAGTCTAATCGGATTCTTTTATCTATGCTAAGCTAAGCTAAAAGTGCTCCTGCTAGACTTGGAGATGGGCTGAATGGATCAAAATAGAGGAAAAACTCTAGTGGAGTCATAAATGAGAACAGTTTTCTCCACTATTAAACCTGTTGTAACTTGGAACTGTTGGAAAAGTAGACTTAAAATTAGGTAAATGTATGGAAAATTAAATAAATTAAGTCAAAAGGTTTACATTTTTTCAAGTTAACTAATCGATTTTTACAATGCATGTTTACATAGACGATAGAAGGATGGGTTGAAAAACAGCTTGAGGTATACTGAATGGATTTGAGAGTAAATAAGGATTAGACCATTAACATCTCACTCAAGTGACCAAAGATTGCACCTACTGCAGCCAATGGTATGGCAGCTATATTCCATTATTAAGCTAAAATAGGTATAGTTTGAGTTAAATTGACCAAGGAAAAAAAAACTTTTCATTTTCCATCAATCATGATGTAACTATTGAAGAAGAGTCAAGCTTTAAATAGGAAAAATTATTACATTTAAGTGAGACGCTAATGGTCTAATGCGATTCATTTATCTATGCTAAGCTAAGCTAAAAGCGCTCCTGCTAAACTTGGAGATCGGCTGAATGCATGAAAAAAAGTTCTGCACTATTAAACCTGTTGTAACTTGGAACTGTTAAGTTGACTTCATTTTATAGTTATGCATATATTCACCTAAGTTTAAGTAAAAGGGTTTCTCTTTTTTCAAGTCAACTATTTGATTTTTCAAGTGCAGGTTTAGATAAATGACAGCAAGATGCATTGAAAATTAGCTTGAGATGAAGAACCGGATGGATTAGAGAGTAAATAAGGATTAGACCAGTAGCATCTCACTCAAAAGTGACTAAAGATTGTACCTACTGCAGCCAATGGCACGGCAGGAATATTCCTTTATTATTATGCGAAAATAGGTGATCCGAGCCATATCGACCTAGAAAAAAACCCGTTTCATTTTCCATCGATCATGACGTAATCAAAGAAGAAGAGTCAAGCTTTAGATAGGAAAATCAAAAAATGTTTTGGTTGTTTGATTGAGATGCTAATGGTCTAATCCGATTCAATTATCTATGCTAAGCTAAGCGTGCTCCGGCTGAATGGATTAAAAAAAATGGCTCCACTATTAAACCTGTTGTAACTTGAAACTGTGACATTTTTATAATTATGCACAAATGTACCTAATTTTAAGTCAACGGATTTCACTTTTTTTCCCCAAAGTCAACTAATCGCTTTTTACAGTGCCTGTTTACATAAATGGCAGCAAGATGCATTGAAAAACAGCTTGAGATGAAGAATTGGATGGATTAGGGAGTAAATAAGTTACTATAATTAAAAAACAAAGTGCAAAATGAGCAATGAGTGCAAAAGTATGGCAGCGAGAACCAAGAACAACCTCTTTGTATTTTATACAAGCTGGTTAATTTGGATTCTTTGATAAAAACGGAGCTTACAATACAATCTTCATTTTTTTTTTCAATTTGGAGCATAATTTATTCTTAGTACAAAACATTAAAAAAGAAGGTATGCATGTGGCTCATATACAATCCTAAAACTGTGTATTTATATATATATATATTATATATATATTTATATTTGATTAAATTTTGTACAAAGACCTGGGAGGAGCCCTCTGATATATAATATAGGGGCGTCAGAACATTTCTAGCCTCGAGAACAGTGCTACAGATCTTCCAAGGATGAGTTTCTGTGTAATAACAGGATGAAAAGGTCATTTTCGACCCAATAATCGCTGGTTAAAAGACTCCCTGGTTAATCTTCTCATATAAAACCTCCTTCTCTAAGAAAATCCACAGTGAGATCAAGCGCAGTTTAGATCAGTCACAAAAGAAACCGAAAGAGAGCCTGCCTCCATAGCACGGGTTAAAACAAAACAAGAGTGTGCAAAAAGCAGTGCCGCTGAATCCAGACATCTAAAATAATTTGGTTTACATTAAGCTCACATCTTTACACCTCCCGGCTGAGGGGGGAGAGAAAGACAAATAAGTGCTTTTGTTTTAGTTAGCGTGTTAAAAAACATTCTGTAACAGTGCACTCGCGTTAACCGTCTTAATATTGCACCATTGATGGGAGAATAAAACCTCAGGAGATGAAGCACCGATGTAAAGCGAGTTTCAGCACCGCACAAGTGGAATAGCTCCCAGGATTCCACTCTTTCACTTACTGAGATTGGTCTGCGTAACACAACTGTCACTCATGCAAAGGAGACTGCAGTGATGTGTGTGTGCGTGTGTGTGTGTGCAAATTGTACTTCAAAATGAAGCTGAATGCATACTGGTAAACTGGTTGCAGAGACAGTTAGGGCTAAAATGAAAACTGTATGTTCGTTTACTCAACCACAGGCTATTCTACACACTTTTTTATATATCAGCTGAAACCATGGTCTATTATGATTCATTATAATGCAATTCAATGTCATTCACATCACTTGTTTCCAGCACTTGGAGCCAAAAAAATAAATACACACGTCACGCACATTCATATATACAAATAGACACATACATATATACACCCACCCACACATCCACACACACGCAGGATATATACACATACATACATGCATGCATGCATGCATAAATATACACAAATACATACACACACACACACACACAAATATATATATACATATATACACACACACACACACACACGTACACGTCACATGCATAAATACATCAAGACACACACACCAAGAAAACATGAATACACACATGCATGTTATACATAAACACAAGCGCACACACACATCACATATTCATACTTCACATACACACGCACACACGTCATGCATACAAGCAAACAAGCACACAAACATGTCACGCATACACACACACACACACACATCAAGCAAACATGGATACACAAACAAACACACACATACATAGACGTGCGCACATATATACACACGTCATGCATGCATGCATACACACACATGCACAGCACACATGGACACACACACACACACACACACACACACACACACACACACACACACACACACACACACACACACACACACACACACACACACACACACACACACACACACAGTCACGTCATGCATACATACACACACATCAGGCATATACACACAGACACACATGTTGCTCATACACATACACACACGTCATGCATACATACACACGATTCTGGCATTCATACATACATTTCACACATACATGAGTCACAAATGCATGCATACATACACTAGTCTGGCATAAATACAAACACACACACACACACTTCAGACATACATAAGTCGCACGCACACACGCACACAAACACACAGACACACACACACAGACACACACACACACACACACACACACACACACACAGACACAGACACAGACACAGACACAGACACACACACACACACACACACACACACACACACACACACACACACACACACACACACACACACACACACACACACAAAATTAACAGCCAGTACATGCAGGTCTAATGAAATGAAATGATTGGTCTGTGCAAGAAACAATTGCTTTGTTTTTTTTAACAACATTTAATCCACAGCATTTGTGGCCATCTGGAACAAACATGCTGGTGCAGGCGTCAGTGTGTCTGCAGCGTCCAGGATACACAATATTTGGATGCACAACACAACACTGCACCCTTCCACTCCACTATTAACAATCTGCACCAGCTCAAGTGTGTGTTAATATGCCACAAATGATAATAACCTCATAAATAATGTTCAGTCTCTTGCACTAAACAATCATCTCGCTTCATGAGACATCATCAGAAGCCATGGCTATTAATTGTGTTGAGCCTGTATGATTTTTTTGACTCTCAAAGTGCTAACCATCGACATGCATTTAATTAAACCACCAAGAACTATAGTTTCAGCTTTTAAAAATCTTGAATAATCTGAGGAAGAGTAAATTAAAGCTCCTTTTTAGGTAAAGTTGTCTTTTAAAGCTTATAACGGCTGGTTTTTAGCATCGGTTAAATCAGTCTGCAGTCCCTTTGAGCGTGTGACCGAGCGTTAAACTTTCATCTTACAGTTTGGATACATGCACACGAGCTATGCCCATACATTAAAATATAATTAATGATAAGATGTCAGTCAATAGGAGGGGGATTGATTTAACAAAAATAAAAAGATCTATAGCTCAACAAAAACAAAACACATCTCCCTGACACATAGGTACTTGTTTGGACCCTAAAATGAATAAAGGTAGAAGAGAAAAAAATATATATATGTCGATTTTAAAAAATAAAGAATAGCTTAGAGGTTTTATCGTTTCAGAAAAACGTGGGACTCTGCAGTGCCACCAGTGGCCAGGAGGGCTCACTACCTGTGTGCAGGTAAGTGGACTCCATTGAGAGCGGACGGATAAGGCAGGACCAACTCCAGTTGTGCAAACAGGGAGAAGTGATCTGAGGGGATTAGAGGGTGCGGACAGCCACTGATATTGTTCTCCAGGAGCCAGTTTGTGTCCAAGGGCCCAAGAACGCCCAGCACGTTCAGCTGCGGCCTGGAGTAGAAGATGTAGTCAATGACACCCTAACATGGAAAGACAACAAAAAAAGGGAAAAAAGGTGAGCACATGGAGTTGAGGCACACAGCAAGATCTTTTTGAATGACATTTTATTAGTGCTTGGACTATAAATCGATGCATTGTGAATCGAGAAATTATTCTGCATCGATTATTGTAGATGTAGATAATGTGATGTCAGTTTTAAATTATATATTATAAAATGTAAAAAGAGTTGTAACACTTATAATACACAATAAACTAAAGGTCCCATGAAGTGTTTTGAAATATGCATTTTTTTTATTCAATGTTTGACGTAATCTCAACTGAAGCATGAATACAGGGCAGGACAGAGTAGCTCCTCCCCTTTTAAAAAAAACAGCCAATAGCATTTTATCACAGCTCTGCCAGTGAGTGATTGAGCTCAAGCACAAATGAAAAGCAAATGAGAAGGAGGCGGGGCATGTCAGATACTAGATATTCTAACAAAAAAAAACAACTATTTCACGAGACCTTAGGCCTAATCCCAATTGTATTTTTGTACCCCTTCCCCTTGGCCCTTAAAACCAAGTGTGAAGGGAAAGGGCTTCAAAATTTAACCCTAAGAAATGTGCAGGTGCTGTCCCACGTCATCATGTCATCACAATCTCTTGTTTCATATGAGGACAGACGATCGCGACTGCTGTAGTTATTCCAGTTGCAATATTTATTGGTATATATCTTTAAGAAAATCACTGAAGGCATATATTATCATAACGATCTAATCGTAACTATACTGTATATTTACACAGTGGCCATATTCATCTATGCAAACACACAAAAAACAACATTTCCATTACAGCAGACACTGTAAAAAGGGTTCATTTTTCTGACAGGGTATTCGAGTGTCAATGTTTTGGGACTGCTATACAGGAGTTATTATTGTGGATTATAGATTTAACGTTTTTTGTTTTAGCGTTTTTTTTTTTAAGCATGACGGTAAAACACGATCACAGTTATGAATATATTAAAACATGTGCTTGTTTGTTGTAAAAATTCATAATGACAAAAAAAAAAAAAAAAAAAACTATTAATTTGTGGATCTCCTTAATTCCGGGTGCCATTCCTGCCATTGTGGCTGGTGTATTCTGGGAAATTTTCTTACCCCTTGGTTTCGAGTGTGGTCCTGAAAAATCTCTTTTTGAAGGGCTATCTACCCCTTTCCCTTAGCTACACGCCTTCAAGCTAAAGAGACTTGGGACACCCCTACCCCTTCATGGGAACGTGCAAAACGAGTGGTAAGGGGAAGGGCTAAGTGGTAGAATTGAGATTGGGCGGTCCCACTTTATATTAAATGTCCTTAACTACTATGTACTTACATCAAAAAATAAATACAATGTACTTACTGTGTTTATAATGTATTTGAGAACACTTGTGGTGCTTTTGAGTTGGGGTAGAGGTTGGGTTATGGACAGGTTTGGTGGCATGGGTAGGTTTAAGGGTGGGTTAAGGTGTAAGGGATGGTCAACAGTGTATTTACAAATGTAATTACAAAAGTTAATGACAGATGTAATTACATACATGTATTTAATCAAGCATAAGTACATAGTAAATACATGTATTTACACAATAAAGACATTGTAACAAACTATTAATTCCTGTGAAAGTACATATTAGTTAAGGCCACTTAATATAAAGTGGGACCGATTGGGCTTTAATAATAGACATCAATAACTATTGTGAAAGGCGCTATGCAAATAAACATGAATTGAATTATGATCAAACTATAAAAATAGAAAATGAAAAGGATATGAATAGTAACTACAATTTTACTTGCAAGTGATAATCAGTGTATTTTTTTGGTAAAATGTAACTACGAACACCTTTTTTTGTGGTTAGACTCACACTAGGCTACCTGCACCAGTTCGTTTGACGAGTGTGAGTGCTCCGAATTGAGTCCAGCCATGGTTCAGTTGGCCGACCCTGGCTCGGTTGGAAGAAGTGTGCCAGAGCGCAGTTTGGTTGGGCTTTGGCGTGGTAAGCTTGTAGTGCGAGTGCAATGTATGGCTGAGCACGAAACTTAAGACTCGACGTCACTTTTAAGGGCTGTTTCATATAGATTTATGAATCATTCTTTCTATTCAATGAATGCAAACTGTTGTGTAAGACGCAAACCCCTCGCTGCACGTCTGCTGCACCTTCAGCAAACCTCCTAATACCTGCTGCACAGAGATTTTTATGATTATTTATGAGAATCAACAGTGCTGGATCTGTTCTGCAACATATTTGATAGTGTCACCGCATCCAAGACGACTAAAAATAACACAAAACAATATAACTAAAATAATCTCCACTGCGCTGAGCGAGAACTTTTCTCTTCTGTTAAACTGAACAGTAGCATCATTGATGACGTAAGCATGCTCAGGCTCGGAAGGTAAAGATGCAGTGTGAGTGCAGGCCGTTGGGGGAGAGGGGAGAGGGGAAAAGTGCGCTTCGGCACGGTTCAAGGCAGCTGTACCTAGTGTGAGCATGCCCTTAAGCCAGGTCTCAGCTCTCTTGTAGAGCCACACATATAGTGCTGACTGAAAACCCAAAACTGAATTTCAATTAACAGCAGAGCTCTAGTTCATGTTTCAGAGCTTTCCCAAACACACTCAGCAATTCTGAAACAAAAACACTGAGGATTACAGTGTGTGCATGAACACATTTTCAATGTACTCACCCTAAAATCAAAAGTGTAATTGGTATAAGGCATGAGCCCGTTCTCGTAGGCACTCTTCAGCTTGAACGCATGCGTGATCCTTCCATTAGATGTGCTGTTTTTGCCGTTGCAGTTGAAGTTGGTCAGGCTGTCGCTGTATCGCAGCTCTTTGAAGTCTTTGTGTGTGCAGTCGACTCCACCTGTGCTCAGGTACTCCACAACACCTGCATTCACATTCACAACTTATTACACACTCATTATCCATTATCTCCTGCAGCTGACAATATAGTTAACAGGTTTCTGCAAGTCAGGTTTAAAGCTGCAGTCACTCTGCACTTTTCACCCTGTAACCTTCCGTTCATATGCATGCAAATGTAGAGGACCGCAAGCTTGTGCGACAAGTTTTAAAGGTCACTACATTGGAAAGTTCAAGTTTGGTGAACTGTGAAATCACATCACGCGAATGTTTGAGATGAATCGAAGATGAAAACATGACCTCTCTGTACAGAAATTTCAAATATGCAGCAATCACTCGCTTTTTTTAAATTTCTAATCATTTTGTTTAATCTCACCCCGTTTTGCAGCACCATACGACAGAATTTTGCGTGCTCAAACTCTAGTGTGACCACTATGAAGCAAATTTCAGACTTATACAGGGTTAAACACCAAGGATTTTTTTTTCTAATGGCATGGTTGGGCCAATAAGAAGATTTTAAATTGCCTTATCGAAACGATTTTAATTTATTTACTCATTAACCGCATATTTGAAATGAATCAAAACAAGCTAAATCTAGCTACAATAGTTACACGTACAAAAAAAAAAAAACTATAATAAACTAAATTTAGAGCGACAAGGTGGTAAACAGTCACCTCACAGCAAAAAGGTCGCTAGTTCGACTCCCGGTTGGTCCAGTTTGCGTTTCTGTGTGGAGTTTGCATGTTCTCCCAGTGTTGGCGTGGGTTTCCTCCAGGTGCTCCGGTTTCCCCCACAGTCCAAACACATGCGATATACTTGAATTGAATAAACAAAATTGGCTGTAGTGTGTGTGTGTGTGTGTGTGTGTGTGTGAATGAGTGAGTATGGATGTTTCTCAGGACTGGGTTGCAGCTGGAAGGGTATCCGCTGTGTAAAACATATGCTGGAATAGTTGGCGATTTATTCCACTGTGGCGACCCCTGATGAATAAACGGACTAAACCAAAGGAATATAACTAAAACTAAATTCATGCACAAGAGTCTGTCTAAAACACAAGGAGAACTTTTTAAAAAATGTTTCTGTATTGAAAATAATTACACCATATTGGTGAATAGAGTTTATAGAATATTTAACTTTTGTTAAGTTTTACTGAGATGGATTATTGGAGATTGGTCGGCCCATTGGGTAACTCTACACAGAAGAAAATTATCCCCTTCAGACCCTGGGTCCATTACAATGGACATCACATGACATCCCATTCTTCTGAAATTTGGAACATAATTCAGGTCTGAAGGGGTTAAGACCTGTTTAACATTATTTAAGACCTACAACACAACATTTTAGTAAATTAAAGACCTTTTAAGGCCTAAAATGGATTGTTTATGAAATTTAAGGCATTAAGACCCTGCGGACACCCTGAGCTAATCCATAACCTGTATCGCAAATCGCCACCTATACCCTCAAATAGTGTGCATTTTGAGGGAGCAACCATTTCTAGCAGTCCAAAACCATAGTGAACGTTCTGAAGTGCAATCAATTAATCCCACAATGAACGGCAACGATAGCTGCATCCCAATTCGCATACTTATACTACGCCCTAAAAGGACGTACTTAAAAGTGAATAATTTTCCTTCACAATATAAGTATCTAACAGAAGATTATGCAAGCTTTGGTGCATACTACTTCTTCATTAACAGATCGTTATGTTGCTTTGTTATGAGCCCTGCCAATCATCTACACATCATCCACATTTCTGTCCCATTGAATTTCCTAACTTATTAGAGAAGCAGCAGGTTATTCTCCCATTCATGTGCCTTTCATGCAGAGAATTCTCCTCAGGTCTTTGTATAATTATGCATTCAGATGTTAATGTCCGAACACGTCTTGATATAAGTTCAGTATTGTTGTGGCAGATGAAATGCAAGACAGAAAACACGATTTAAATATTTTCCAGTTGGCTAAATATTAATTAACAGTTATACAAACATCTTTACCTGATGGTTGGTCCCATCCCATGTTTGTAGTTCATTTACACTTTTCACCCACGTTTGTAGTTCTAATCAAATTCAATGAAAATGATGGTTTGGGTGATTCACTACATGAAGTCTTACCCGAGTCAGGTAGTGAGTTGAGGTCGGCACACAGCACCAGAGGGATGCTGCTGGTTTCTCCAGACACTGAGGAGTGCTTCAGACTGCGAGACGCTTTGTCTATGATGTTCTTCACCTCTGACAGGAACATCATGGTCTGCACCAGCTTCACGTCAGAGTACTCTGGGTCCCAGTGCATGTGAGCATTAGCCACTAGTAGGAGCTGTTTCTCCATTGCATGGATTGACTTACCCGCTGCAGGATAAAAAGAAAAAAAAGGGCTGGATTGTAATACATCACTAAAATATGGTTAGATGAACGATGTTGCCTTCATCTGGAGCAATTAAATGTGGACGACAAAACCCATTTTGTTACATGGTATAATGTTATGTTGCATGGGTATAATTTTAGCAATAAGCAAAAATGCTCTGCTGTCAGGGGCCAAAGTTATGCACTTTTATTTTACGCCAGTCATGATTAGAAAAAGAAGTAAAACTCATGTTTCATGAAGACATAGCAAATGTCCTACTATAAATAGATTAAAACTCAATTTGTTAAGTGATCCACGTACAACATTTTCTTCACAACTGAATTTTCTCAATATTAAGATGTTTTTGAACACACAGATTTCAGGGTTACCAAACTGAATTGCATCTGCAAACAAAAATGTAATTATAAAATCAACAGAAAACATTTATTCAGCTTTCTGATGATGCTTAGTTTCAAAGATTTACACTTATGACTAGTTTTGCTGCCCAAGATCACAGATGTGTTTATTATATTAAAGCAAGTACACACCTGCTTGAAAAAGGTTAAAAATGCACCATAACATTATGCATCCTTTTTCTTCATCTTCTTAAATGACATTAACATTAAAGCATCAAAACGTTTTTGCAATTCCCATTATCAATACTAGTAATTAAGTTAGATTTAGATTTAAGATACAGAAATGTATACTGCATTAAATAAAAACAGCAAGTGCATTCATTTGATATAAAAGATAACAAAAACTGAAATACTTCATCTTAATATTAAATTTAAATAACTTTTCCACAAAACTAAACAGAACTTTTCTATTCATTAATAAATACATCAAAATTAGTGATACTTTTTTTAGATTGCAATTCCTAGTTATTAGACTTGTCTTCATTTTCCATATTTTTCCCTGCATTATAAAACACATTAAAAGCAATATATCATGCTTTAAACTTCCAATTATGTGAAAGGTTTTTTTTTTCACTGCAGTACAAATGCTTGGTGAAGAAAGGCGCTTAAAGGGTCTCGAAACACCAAAACTAAGCTGTTGACCGTCATAAATGTGTCCCACGCTGCTAAAAACACAATTAGGACACATATATTTCACAGAAAAAAATGAAAACAGTTTATTTTTGTGTTACTTAGAGCAGCGGCTCCCAAAAGGGGGTTGTATTTAAAAAAAATTCTTAGCAGTGGACAATAGTATTACTGAAATTAATATACAAACTGAATAAATATATATTTACACTAGTGGAGGGCCGTTAATGCGAGATTCTTATCAAGTGATAAAAAAAAATAATTGCCTTTAATCTATTCTCAAAGTTGGGTTGGGAGCTGGGTCTATTCTACGCAAGCTATGATGACTTTCACCTTGATATATTTGCGCGGATGTATACCTGACCGGTGAGCCGTCTGACAAAAGAGTACCCTTCTGAATCAAATCAGCAGGATGCCTGACTTTAACTGCAGTTCAGCAATGTAACTTTAACTCTTTCATTCATCCCTCTTGAATAACTAGGGTATTAGACGCAAATAAGGACTGGTGAGAGTGTTATGGAATTTAATAGCATACGGCAAATGGGAAAAAAAAAACATTTCGCAATGTGTTTGTGTGTTTGTGTGTGGTCCTTTACTGACAGCCGTGTGTGGATCTTGTTGGAAAATATGGCGAAAGTTCCTAAAGACTGCGGTGTTTACTTCAATAATGTCACTAATATGCATACTCCACATCTTAATTCCATTTCTGTTTAGTTCAGTTATGACATTTGTTAGATTAAGGCAATAAAAAAATAAAAAAATAAATAAATTCTCTGTTTCAAACTTATGTAGGCCTACAGTTCAAAAGATCATGTTTGACTAAATAAACAGTTAGTAAACACAAGTACATCTTATTGAACATCATTTATTTTCATCACCAATTATCATAGTAGAACAGTTTCTCAAGCAGCTTGTGATGCATTTTGGAAACAGGAGATCCCTGGAGAGGAAACAGAGAGACCCCAGGTCTAATTCGCCACCTGGCTTGAGGAACCCATACTAAAAGACTTATTATTTGGGTAGCACACATATTCTGAATGCCTTCGGCAGAATTCAAATGAGCCATTTTAATCTAGATCTTTAATCTAATCTTGGAATTAATCTAGATTAAATAATAATAATAATAATAATAATAATAATAATAATAATAATAATTATATATATATATATATATATATATATATATATATATATATAGATATATAGATAGATATATCTGTGCACCTACATAATAAACACACTGTTTGTTTGAAAACAAATTTTTTTGTCATCATTACTGCAAACTTATATGAGCGATTATATCATTAAATGTGGAGGGGGGCCTTACAATATTTTCTGAGGAAAAAGGGGGTCTCAGGCAAAAAAAAGGTTGGGAGTTACTGAAGTTTGCCCTTGCGTTTTTTTTAGTTACTTCTTTGGTTTGGTGCGTCAATCTTATCGATGCTATTATTAAAAAAAGGTAATGATTCGCAATTGCTTCGTACTGTTTTTATTTTTTATTTTTCTTACATTTTACGGGTGATTAAAAGACAGACGTTTCGGCACAAAGCCTTCCTCAGTGTGGATGTGAAAACACCCTGCTGACACAGGGGGGCTTCATAGCCCTTTAACTGTCATGAAAATAGTCGCAACTTACAAAAAAAACCAAAAACTCTTAATTGTCCATATACTCACATGACACTTCAATTAACTCCTTTTTCAGCTCCAGCAAAACTGCCACGCCAATGTTGTCCTTGGTCATGACTCGATTCAACATGGCCTCCGAGCCTTCTGAATTGGCCATAGCCAGCTGGTTAAATTCTACAGTGTGTTTCTGCACCACGTTGAACCTTAAAGTAAAAAATATATATATATATAAAATGTCAATGCAAAACACCAGAATCAAACCTCTCAGAGAGTCTGACAGCACACTTCTCAACGCGTTACTTTACTCACTTCTCAGTCTTGTAGAATATTGCACATCCATCTACATGCTTCCTGTCTGATTCAGACATGGTTCTGGCCCGGGATTTGGGGCTGAAGAATCCATCGTACCCCTGTTTACTCAGCTCTAGCAGGAAGAAGTTAAAATACTGCTCGGTCTCCACTTCCTGTCAATGACACAGCAGATAAAGAGAGTCTGACAGACAGTGCTGTAGGGGGTTGCAGACACACTATTCAGAGCAACCTGTTGTGCATCACTGAACCAAAAAAAACTGACCTTTAAAAAGAAACAAAACACAAGGAGAACCCTTCATCTATTACGACAGGCGTATTTGTATATCCCAGAAGGTTATCAGTGAAATATTAAAGTATGTAAGTTTTTGACTCTTCTAAAGCATAAAAATACCATAACAGGTTTGCAGATATTTATAAAACATGTCAATTGAACATTCTAGTTTATCTGAAAAACAATGCTGAAGTCAGATATTCTGCTTTGAAAATGTGTGTTATGTGCAGGAATAACTGTCTTTGTTTGGTTTCTTTTTAACCCAACCACTGTCACCTCAGCCAATTACTTCAGCACCCCGGGTTGCCTTGGGGGAGTTTTTGATTCATTTAGTCATGATGGCTCTCATATGCGTGCACAACTAAAATGCGACCTCTGGTGAACAGCCTCCGAAATGAGACCCAGATTCAGAGTACCACATGAGGTTATTAACCCTTAAAGACCGAAACAGCCGCCCGCGGCTAAAAAGAAGTATGGTTCTTAAATGTTTAATAAATTTTGATCTGCTGATCCTATCTCAGCTTTCCATCGTTGTAAAAGATTACATGCACGGACCTTCGGAGGCTCCGGAATAAGTGTGGTTACGTCATCACATTTTGACAATGCTGATTCGACAAAGGAACGCTCGTGGCTTGTGTCTCCGGACAAACCAGACATGATGCATTGTCCCTCCTCCATGCCCAGATTGGTTCAAACTCTCTCACTCAACAAATAAGCATAGGTTTCGCTTTGTAGACCAGCAATTAGCTATTTGAACAACCCGGAATGAGACATAGGCTGTACATTTACGCACGGCTAAATAAAACAAAAAAAAAAAACTAAAAAAAAAGTTTTGCAGCAAATAATTCTCATACTAAGTACTTTTGCATGCACAGGAGCACAAAAACATGACAAAACAGTGACAACGCAAAGTCACCGCTGTTTTCAAATGACGGTGCGGTTGTTTGTCTGCAACGCAAAAGTTGAGAAGCAGCAGGGTCAACACCATATGCTGGCACATAAAACCTAAGGATGGTCCATATTGAATCTAGTTCAGTTATGTAACTTTTTATAGTATAGTAAATATTTATATGTATTTTTTTAATTGTGGATTTGCACCATGTTTATTTGGACCTTGACGCATTATTTATTATTTTCTTATTTTTTATTTGTTCATTATAAGTGGTGTTATGGAAACTGAAAATATATTATTGGGAAAAAGTCAAACTTGCTTCAATTTTCTCTTATTTTGTAACAATCTTTCTGTTTTGTTTATTCCCAGAACTTTTGGGCAAATACATTGTCAGTAAATAAATGCATTAGTTTTTTCCCACTGAAAAACGCCTTAGAATAACATTGAAATAAATCGCTATAACTTGCTCAGGGAAAGGTGGATGTAGACAAAATTTATTTTGGAAATATAACACATCATAGCATGTATTTCTAAAGAAAAAAAAAACTTCACGAGGTTTTGTTTGTAATAACTAGAAAATGGCACTTTAAAAAAAAAAGAAAAAACGAAAAAACGCTTTTCTTAAAATTCTGTAATATTTTTTGTCTGTTCATCTGTTTTTGGATCAAAAAATATTTTAGACTGGACCTTTAAATGATACAGATTGAAGCTTCATGTTCTCCTTTTTAAAATAATATATGACACTTGAGGCTGAAATAACAATAAAACTGCTTTTAAAAAATAATAACAACATAGGCCCACAAAATACCTCTAGGTCTTTAAGGGTTAACTAGCAAATAATATGAATCAGGGTTTCTGCAGGTTTAACAAGTTCAATTTAAGACATTTTTAAGACCATTATGAATGAAATTGACTCATAAAGGGCTAATGTATAAGGAACTTTTCAAATAGCACAGATGTAAAATATATTAATTTGCCCTTTCAAAAAAAAATTATTATAATTAAATAAATGTATTAATACAATAATAAATGAATAATAAAGAAAAATAATATTTCAGACATTTCTTAGCAAAATATTTTAAATAGTGTAAAAACAAGCAAGCTCTACTTGTATCCATACACTTTTTCTAAAATAAACTTTCTTTAAAATAAAAAATGAAGAAATGTTAATATGTTGTGTTTTATTCAACTGCTCAGAGCAGTATTATAACAGAAGCCCAAAATCTCTTTAGTATGATAAAACATGATTTCTGCAAAAGTCCCATATATTGTAATAATCGCCACAAGTCCTGCATCATCAAAATATGCCAGGCTTACACAATCGTTTACCTGTAAGCTGATGATGTCTGCATTGCAGTTGAGGATCTCCTGCATGATGGACTTTTTCCTGTAGCTCCAGTTTAGAGCCCAGGATGGGCAGTAGCCGTAGAGCTGGCGTGTGGCGTATTTATCACACAGCACATTATAGCACATTACAGTTAACAGGGCTGCGGAAGCAAAGGGAGAGAATGATCATGCAGAGTGTTCAAGTGTTCTGCATTATGTTTCAGTGTTTGAAAGAAGCTTCTACCTGTTGGTCTTGATCTTTCAGGCTCCTGCAGCACAATCCAGGAGCGGGGCGGAGGCTGCTCTGTTGGGACTGAGAAGACATTACATTACAGAACAACAGCTGTAAGAAACTTAATCATTTTTCTTTTAACTATAAGAATAAAAGCTGAACTCCAATTAAGAATGAACACTGAATCATAATCGTTAAATGTTCCATGTTAAAACTATTTACTGTTGTTAAAATACTGATAGAAACACATTAAAATTACTTGATTTATTAAACCCAAAGGCCAAAATCTCATAAATCAATAAATTCTACAAATTAAAAGTTTGCCACCAGTAAGAATAACAAATTAAAGGGGTCACACTTTACAATAAGGTTCATTAGTTAATGCTAATTAATGCATTTACTAACATAAACAAACAATGAACAATACATCTACTTATGTATTTGTTCATGTTAGTTAACGTTAGTTAATGAAAATACAGTAGTTTATTGTTAGTTCATGTTAACTCATGGTGCATTGACTAATGTTAACTAGCATAGACTTGGATGTTAATAATGCATTAGTAAATGTTCAATTATGATTAATAAATGCTGTTCATGATTAGTTCATGTTAGTAAATGCATTACCTAATGTACCTTATTGTAAAGTGTTACCAGGTGTTACCAAGTGTTATAAGGTTATACTCAGCGCTGATGCATTAAAAGGCCATGAAAATGTGTTTTAGAGTTTTGTGACCCTTTAAACTAATCATGTGTAACAGTAAATACTTTACATTAAATATAGTATCTAAAAATTTCTAAATCAAGTAAAAATATTGTTTTGTTTTCAACTTCAAAAGAAGTGATAAGAAAAAACTCCAAACTGACAAGCAAAATGATCTGCCAGCGGAGTAAAACAATCTCGTTTTTGCTCTGAAATGTAGATATTTGGACTAGAAACAAGAAAAAAATTCTAAGTAAGATTTTTTTTTTATTTTTATTTTTTACAATTCTTCAGCTCCTGGTCAACTATAATACAGGCTTAACATTGCATATCCTGTGATGTGACTATTGCGGATACACACGTTCCGATATCTATGCTGAAATTATATATTGTGCAGGCCCATTGTACACAAAGCATACAAAGAACTACAACATCGATAAAATACGAGTTTTCGATTTGACCTGTGATAAATATTCAACAATTCTCCAGAAGTCACCATTTTAAACATTTACCTTCACAGGGTTTTTGCAGATATCATAATGTCAAATTTAAGACTTTAAGACCTTTAAGACCATTAAGTATTTAAGATCTATATCACAATATCAAAAACACGCGATAGAAAATGCAAAATCACAAAATTTGTGAAAAAATAAAATTATTTAAACTGAACAGTACTGAAGACAGGTTAGATGCACCACTGAAGGCTGATTTATACAATACGCCGTATTGCGCACATCCGCTGACTGTGCGTGCACCTCACGAAACGGACGAGCCTTTTATACTTGACTCTTTTGCCGTTGTGATATTCTTTAAAACGACAGGAGGCAGTCAAAAGAAACCCACCGTAAAGTAAGACAGATAAACAGAGAAGTAGTTTCCGGAACTACATCATATCTTTAATAAAGCTCAAAATTTTAAAACAAATTTCTTTTTCATTGTTTTCGGAATTTATTATAATGATTATAAAGATTTATCACTATTCGAGATTTTTTTAATCTAACTTTGATGCATCACTCGCTTTTGTTCATATCTCGTACAGTTCTACCTATTAAAGTTAAATATCAATGACAAGAGAAAATGGGTTGCTCTACAATTATATTTTTATTATGGCAAGAATAAAAGCAAAAAAACTTACTACAAATATTTACTTTTTTTTTACTTCGCCCACTCAACAATTCACACATTACCGTCTCGCTAGTTTCTGTCCTCTACTTATAAGCTAAAAAGGCAATAATGGTCCAACATTCATAAACAATATCACCAATAAAACCTAGAAACAGGACATCAGTATACTGTAAACCGATGGCTTCAAATATTCTTTTCCAGTTATCAAAAAACATAATTTGTTTCCTAATTTTAGTTTGTAGCTATTACATTGTTTTAACTTCAAAACCGTAAGACACATATCAGTGTAAAACCTATAAAGGGTGGAAAAACATCTTTTTTTTTGTTTTGTTTTGTTTTAACAAACTTATCCCTTTGGTTTTTCCAAACTTTTACAAAAACTTTCCTCCTCTCCCACGGCTGTTGCAATTATTAGCCAAGAATTATTGTTTATCTGGTTCTCCCTATGATGATCACGCATAGACGGATCATTATGATGTCTGGACAGGCATAAGGGTTTCAGACAAAAATTCTTTTAAGTGGTTTATATTCAGCTCAAATCAAACGTGGCGCCGTGCGAACTGTTCACTCGAGTCTCAAAATATTTTGTGCACTCCACCAGCTGGAATCATGTAGTGCACACCCAAAGCGAATCTCCGCAAACTCTGCAATGACATCAAATTCGCCGCCCCCAGTGAGTTCAATAACAGAAAGTTGATTGGGTATTGCATGTTGATCTCATTTGTAGTTGTAATACCACAAATTACATTAGGACTAGTGAAATAAAGAACTACAACACCACGAAAACTATTGTGCAGGCCTAATGCATTGTACACAAAGCATACAAAGAACTACAACATCGATAAAATAAGAGTTTTCGATTTGACCTGTGATAAATATTCCAAAATTCTCCAGAAGTCACCATTTTAAACATTTACCTTCACAGGGTTTTTGCAGATATCATAATGTCAAATTTAAGACTTTAAGACCTTTTTAAGACCATTAAGTATTTAAGATCTATATCACAATATCAAAAACACATGAGAGAAAATGCAAAATCACAAAATTTGTGGTAAAATAAAATTATTTAAATTGGAACAGTACTTTGACAGGTTAGATGCACCACTGAACTACAGAAAAAAAACATCTTAAGGCTGATTTATACAATACACCGTATTGCGCACATCCGCTGACTGTGCGTGCACCTCACAAAACGGACGAGGCTTTTATACATCACATTCGCCGCTCCCACTGAGTTCAATAACAGAAAGCTAATTGGCTATTGCATGTTGGTCTCATTTGTAGTTGTAATACCACAAATTACATTAGGACTAGTGAAATAAAGAACTACAGCACTACGAAAACCAAGCAACAACAACAAAAAAGAATTTAAATGAGCATTAGATGTAGCGTTACATGGAAATCTGAAAAATAAGACCTGTACAAAAATATTTAAGACCTACAACAGCAAATTTAAGACTTTTTTTGGGCCTACAATTTCGTTTTTAAATTTTAGACTTTAAGGCCCCACGGAGACCTTGCTTTAAATATTTCCACAACAAAAACACTGTAATACAGCAAGTATAAAACACATCTCTATATGTTTTATAGTCCTATTTTTTTTTTTTAAATCTAGTTTCAAAATGTATAAAATTGTTGATTTATTTCTGAAGCATCATGTGACAATTAGGACTGATTAAACGATGCTCAAAAATTCAGCCTTGCATCCCAGAAATAAATTACATATTAAATTTTTAAACTGTAATAATATTATAATACTTAATAATAATAAATTCAAATGCATCCCAGAAATAAATTACATCTTAAAAGGTATTAAAAAAAAAAAAAAAAATATATATATATATATATATATATATATATATATATATATATATATATATATATTTTTTTTTTTTTATTGTAACAAAGTTATAATACTTTCGAATAATAAAAAATAATAATAACAACTACAACTGCAATAATAATTAAAAAAAAATCAAATGTCAGCCTTTAGATAATTTCACAATAAACCACCAGCAAAAACGTCATTAACATAATGAGTCACACTTTACAGTAAGATATCATTAGTTAATTCTAGTTGATGTATTTACTAACAAGACCTAATAATGAACAATAATTGTAAAGCATTTAATCATCATTAAACATTTACTAATGCATTAATAAAATCCAAAGTTGTTCTTGTTAACATCAGCTAATGCACTGCAAGTTAACAAACATGAATAAATACTAGAACACGTTGTTCATGTTAGTAAATACATTATCAAATACAACCTTATTGTACAGTGTGACCCTAATATCTGTTACATGACGAACCCAACAATTGACAACTATAGCAGCAACAATATATCATTTTAACAGTAAATATAGTGCATGGACAGAACCTAGAGTAATAAGCCTGAAACACCTACTGCGCTTGATAGCACCAGCAAGATTGTCCAAAAGGTAGTTCAGCAGTCGCCGGGTGCCATCAGGCTCCTGATAGAGGCTCATGATTTCTTGAGTGAGTGGATTGCCTGTAGAGATGCATATAAACCATCAGCATTAACACAATCTTTACACCTCAATGGCCAGAATGCGGAGAGCTCACCTTTCAACCCCAGTGTTTGTAACTGAAACAGTTTCCCCAACTCAAAAGGCAGAACCCGCAACTGGTTGTTATTTAAAAGCAGTTCCCTGTAGAAAATATAAGATGAATGTAAGCTATGAGATTAACGCCAGAGATGCCACAATAAAAGGTCTACATAAATGAGTCAATAATTACTAAATAGTTTCATTATTATTATTATTATTATTATTAGTAGTAGTAGTAGTAGTAGTACTAGTAGTAGTGCTTCCCACAGGTTTAAAATATAGTTGCAATGGTAGCTGGATTGAAACCCACAATACATAAACAATAATGTTTAACCCACATTACATAGATATTTACTGTATGCATTGAAAAAAAATTATTTAGATTTATTTTTATATATTTTTATTTATTATGACACTGTTATTCACTGTTTCTTTTCAATGGGTTAAAGTAAAAAAAAAAAGACTATTGAAATAAAAAGGAAAAATCCACTATTTCTCTTTCTTTTATGCTATTCGGGAGCCACGTGCACCCACAAACAGGAAAAATCTGCTTCTCTCTCTTTTTCAAGTTCAAACTTGAATGGCAAAGCATTTTAAACATGTATATAAAATAGCCTATTTAATATATTAACATCCCCAAATTAATAAAATATACAGCAAATGAGAAATAAATTATAGAAAAAAAGGAATAAAAACAGACATTATTTCTAAAAATCATACAACTTATAACTGTAAAAAAATTTATAATTACAAGAATAAAAAAAGGCAAACTTGTTGATAACCATGACCAAAAAAAGCGTACTGAGACCTGCTTGTAGAGGTGGTCTCGGTACGCTTTCAAACGAACCCTGGAGCGGTTAGTTTGTGGTGAGAATATGATCCGAACTAAAACAGAGCCAAACGCAAAAAGTACTGTGCCTTTTGGACTAATCCAGCTGCCGTAGGACGATGCGCTGTGCATTATGGGACATGGAGGAAAACATTTGTTGACAGCGCTTTACCAACAGAGAGAGAGAAAGAGAGAGAGGGGGAAACATTACCTGATGGATCATTGGTAATATTTTCGTAAGATGACCATGTCGCGGTTTAGCTAAATTAATTCACGCCTCCTCCTGAAGTGACATACGATGCATTAATACATTGTTTTCCAGCCGCGGCCGCGTGTCATTCTCGAAATGTATAGTTTGTCTGAAGCAGGGACACAATCAGTCAGCGTAGTCGTCCCTCCATAGTAAAAATCGACATTTAGTCTCTTCCGATTTGTTTACTTGCAGGAGTTCATTGGCATTTTCCTGAATTTCAATTCTGACCAATAGATAAGCAGTTTAGGAATTTTGTTTACCAACATCTGGCCAATGAGAGATGTGGATTTTGTCAGATGACTGCATTTTGGTTCTTTTCAACTGGTTCGGACCAAAACCAGCAGTGTGGTGTGAAAACGAGCCAAAGACGGCAGAAAATGCAACAATTTATCATTTATTGCCCTTGGTCCAGACCAAATGAAGCGAACTACAGATGTGAAAGCACCCTTAATTGATCGCAGATGTTTGGTAATATTGGGCGGATATAAAAAGTGTAAAAGTATGACAATAAAGTCATTAAATATACCTGGGCGGCCTGCCCAAGTAAAGTCTATGTGTGGGAAGCACCGAGTAGTGGTGACAAATGAAATCTGATCAAGAACTAACAACAAACCATATTAATGATGTTAGACTCCCAAACTGTCAAATAGAGCTATACAAACCATCTCGTGAAACTGTATTTATATCGCAATATTGATCACAGAAAAATATAAAATTGCAATATCAGATTTTTTTCCAATACCATGCAGCCCTACTGTAGAACGTGATGAGCTTTTCCTCTCTGCATTTCAAACACATTAAACAGGACAAATGATGCATGTGATGAATAGTGCATCTTTCGCTCTGAACGGCTCACCTGAGAGACACCATGTTGCCAAGCTCTGCTGGCAGGCTCCTGATCTTATTGGACGATAAATCCAAGAACGCAAGGTTGTGCAGCTTGGCGATTTCAGGCGGTATGCGGGACAGACAGTTGTCACTGAGGTGCAGAGCAGTGAGATGTGTGAGCGACCACAGGCCCGAGCTGAGACTCCGGACGTTACCTGACACACAAACCAGCAGAAACAGATATCAATACTAAGGATCACAGCTTTTAATTGATTTTGATTAATCGTTGTTTAGAGGTAGCTATCAATTCTTAAATTAAATGTTAACCTTAATAATGCAAGAAGTGCTTGCTTGCTTGCTTCAGTGGCTCATGACAGGATGAGCAAATAACACAAATATATAAATATATAAATTTATACAAAAAAAAAATTATTAAACCGAAAGGCATCCTCGCCAAAAAAAAAAAAAAAAAGAGAAGGTTAATTTGTTTGTGAGCGTGTGATTAACTTTAATTATATTTTTATTTATTTTTAAAAATGTTTGTTTTTCACTTTGTTTGGTTTTAGCTACATATTCTGCTGTGGTATTGAGAATTCCTCTAAAAATTATTTGCTGTAATAGCAACCTTGATCTCAGAAAATAACAAACAAATAAATAAATAAAAAGGTAAATAAATTTATTATTATTATTATAATTATTATATAAAAATTTTATATTTTACATATATAACATACAAATATCATTTAGGTTTTAAAGTATATATTTATCTGCGCTCTATGGGTGACCAGGCTCTTCTTCTCTGGGTTCGAGTCTCTGGAACTCTCTCCCCTTTGACATTAGACACACTAAATCTTTTAAATTGTTAAAATCATCCTTGAAAACACACTACTTTACACTAGCCTAATCACGAGTTGTGCATTCTTGAATGCTTTATCTGTTTAAACGTTTCATCTTGAATGATTAAATTTTACAGTTCCTAAACTGCTTTTATACCTGTATCTTTTTTGTGTAAAGCGCTTTGAGAATTTAATTTTAAAGGTGCTATATATATATATATATATATATATATATATATATATATATATATATATATATATATATATATATATATATATATATATATATAAAATTAGTTTTGGTCATATGGCCCACTCATAATTGTAATTACAACACTGACCTACTGTGATTATGATTTAAAAATAAAAACCAAGCAGTTCTAAAAACATGCTTCACAGATTTAGGGTTTTGGCATAAAGAAAATTTTGAATTATTTTCTCCTTGCATCAGAAAAATAAAAATAAAAATTGCAGCAATAACAGGGCTCGAAATTGCAATTATTTTGGTTGCATATGCACCCGAAATTTTATCTATGCGACCTCAAAATAAATTTGGGAGAATTTGTCCGAGTACATAAAAATGTTGTCGTGCGACCAGTTTTCACAGCAAAATGTTCACCACATGCGCGAAATTAGGAGACATACACGCATTAGGTATCTTTGCACCTAAAAACACCAAACGCATCGCTCGGGAATGGTTTAAAACAGTTGATGTCAACTTGCTGCAGTAAACAAAGCCCGCAATGCTTGCCCCGCCTTCAAGCTCCACTTATTGGTCCACTTCGCTAGAACAGAACGCGAATGTATTGGTTAATATCAGCTGTCAATTACTCAGTTCCGATGACAGGGAGCTGCGAAAACGTAAAGGTCTGGATACGAGAGAATGAAAACATCAGATTTAGTTTTAGAAACCACTTAAAGTTACTAATAATGGCACATTTGATAAGTGATCATGTGCTGAATGTCAATCCAGCATTTACATTTTTGGAAAAGTGGATAAAAGACCTCCAGTGGTTAAAGTCTGCTATGAAAATGACTAAAGCCATTTAACATAAAGCCGGTGGGACGGAGTTTTCAGGTAACAGTGTTTTCCACTGAATCTACACATTTAAGCACGAGATGTTCTAACGTTATTTCATATTACATTTAATCGGCATGATGCAGTCGTGTGACTGACACCGCGTGCATCAACGCTAAAGAGCATGCATTCACTGAGATGAAAATAAAATTGCAGCTACTGTAAAGACCGTTACTGCTATTAAGATGATGTATGCAAATAACTAGTTATGTCAATATCATCTGTGCAATATCAGACACCACCAGTGAGAACACAGCACAGTTATTATTGTTAATTCAATTCATCTCATTCACGTCAAGCAGTGTGTGCAGGGCTGGAAAGCGCATGCAGATTTTTATTTATTTGTTAGTTTTGATAAGTGTTGATATCAAATGCAATAAATCTGTTAATATAAAATTTGTAGTAAAAGTGCTTATAGTTTTTGGTGGGTGCGCCTACATTTTTGAAGTTAGGAGCACCAGTGCAACCAAGAAAAAAAAAAAAAAGATTAATTTCGAGGTTATTAATTATAAGATTAATAACCTGTTTTGCAGCAGGTATAAACAGTCTGTATAAACAAATATTTTTTCAAAATACTCATTTTAGTTTTAATTCATTGACAATAGATCTCATTTGTCAACAAAAGGCTAGTAAGGCTGTAAAAAGACCAAATGACCAAACATCTAAAATTTAACCAAAAATCATTCACACTCACTTCATTGGTTCAAAAGCTATTGGAGTTTCTTTCTTCTCCTGAACAAAAAAGATAAGTTATTTTGAAGGCTGGTTGATGCTACTCGTTGACTTTTATAATATTTACTACTATGGATACCGTCTATGCTTAATCATTGGTTATTGACAAATAATCAATCATTGGAATCCCTAAGTACTACAAAGACCTCTTTCTTTCACGAGTGTCATTTTCATTCAAGTGATCTGTTTCATACCGGTTATTTCAAGCCCATCCCAGATAGATTTTTTCCCACTGTTGGCCTCCTCGCTGGACATGATGGTGTACATCCGCCTGGAGTCAGGCGGGTCATATTTCTCCTTTGGCATCCCTAGACCACTGTGTGTACACAAAATACATAATAATGATTACGCATACATCATCATGTCATCAGAATTCAGTTCAAGACCAAACACAAATTTATTATCTGAGAAATGTTTTTGCTACTTAATGGTTTGCTGGGAAATGTCATTCATCACAGTTTAATTACAACTATACGGTACGACAGACATAAAATAGGTCAACTATTTAAAAAGAGTAATGCAGTGTTTCTTATAACATTCTGTACTTTAGAATTTTCCCAGAGATGGGTTGCGGCCAGAAGGGCATCCGCTGCGTAAAACGTATGCTGGATAAGTTGGCGGTTCATTCCGCTGTAGCGACCCCGGATTAATAAAGGGACTAAGCCATAAAGAAAATGACTGAATGAATAAATGTACTTCAGAATGTGTGCAGCTTAACACTTTTTCTGAACCCAAATATAATGACAATCATAGATTTACAGAGGACATGCACAAAATGTAATTCAGTGTAACAAAAGTTTAATCACAGGGTATGTGTAGAATTTATTTTTGATTAGATGACATTAAAAGTTGAATAAATTCTAGTCATGGATCACAGTGCATCGCCAAAATACCATTTGAAAGCTAGCCATTTGGATAATTAAAAAAGGGATAATCAAGATTATTTTGGGAGAAATTAATCATGTTAGCATTTTTTAAATAATATAGCTCTTTGCAAGCATAATTTGACTACAAATGTTGCATGAAATAAGAATAAATGATGAAAATTCCCAATTTCACGTAGGACAAAACCTGATAAAACAATAAATAAATAAGCAAATATATAAATAAATTAGAACAAAAAATCCATAAACCCTGCATGAATAAAACAATAAATAAATATGTGAATAAATAAATAAATGCATGTACAAAAAAAATCCATGATAGTGTGGGCTGATAAATAATTAAATAAATTACACCAATGTTGGGGTAATAAGAAAATGCTAAACTTAAAGTTTAATTTTCCTCCTTCCAAACATGCATTCATAGTTCATTCGTAGTTGCGCATTTACTTCTCCTCAGCTCAACATGTTAATGAGCTGTCTATCAATCATCAGAAAAAATTGATGCACAATTTCTCTAATGATTAACCAATATTGGCAAATAGCTGCTTTCTGATGATTGACAGACACCCAGAGGAGCATTAGCAAGTTAAACTGAGAAAAAGTATATTAACAATAGAAAGGGGTGGGCGGGGGCAGAATAAACTTTCAGTTTAGCATTTTCTTATTACCCCAACATTTGTGCAATTCATTTATTTACCTGCATGCACTATTAATTGCTTATGAGCAGTTCCAGCATTATGGATGTGACATTTGCAGTAAAAAAATTAAAACATTAATGCAAAAAGAAAGTATATGATAACATTATATTGAAAAATCTGTTTATATTTTCCTAAACAACTCACTACTGAGTTATGTAATCAGAAAAATCTGAAACTGTAAAAAAAATTACACTTTAAATGAGCAAAATAAATATGCATTATGGATGTGACCAACAAAGTCTGCAGTATACAACATACTTTGCATTCTGTGAATTAAACTGCACAACCAAAAGAAATAATGCTAATCAAGAGGATAAGAGTTGCTCACTATCGAACAAACATGACTGATTTTATTTGACATTGTATTTATGAGGGGAAAAAAGCTTTGTTATGGATGTGATACCTCTCCGTTATGGATGTGAACGATGTGAAATTGCCAATTGTGTGACTTTGGTAAATCAAATATAATTGTTTGAGAATATTGACAGAGACATGTTGAAGTACTGTAAAATACAAACCCTCACAAAAAAACATAGAAAGGTTTTCAATATTTTGGTAAAAACGTAATTCTTTTCATGGCATGGTTGACATTTGAATGGAATTGCTCTTACATATTCATTTATGCAGAAATTAGTGAATTTTCATTTGCATTTATTTATAAGCATATGTATTTTTGCAGAAAATTATGGATTTATTTACTCATTTATTTATATATTTGCGTATGTATTCATTTATTGTGTTTGCAGGTTTCGTCCTCCACACAATTCAACTACAAACCTAAAACTAGATCAAGGAAGTGTCTTTGGTTGTGTCTCAATACATCGCCACCTGCCTTCCTGAGCAGCCATGACACAGTAAGCCTATAAATACTGCTTAGTTAGGCAGCTCACGAATTTTTAAGCACAGCCCTATGTTTTCCAAAATCTTAAGTCTTGAGCTGCGTCCCAAATCGCATACTTATGCACTATTCTACGCCATTTTGTAGTATGAATAGTGTAAGTAGTGCGTTCACACTGTAAACTCTAAAAATAATAAGTGCACTTTAATTACCCGGATGATGCACTCATTCAGCCGCTAAAATGAAGTGTGGAATGATGGACACTTCACGCACTCAACGACCGCAGGTTTGCTAACGTAGCGGAAGGGGCGGAGCTATCGGACACACATGTTGAATAACTTTATTTAATTTGGATGGTGAAAGCAAAATTCTCCTATGAGAGTGATTTTAGCGCCTCCCGATGGTGAATGCGACAACACTCACGGCAGGTATTATATGATAATTCGGCCGTTTACTTCAATGATTTGGCAACCGTCAAACGTCATCAGGGAAACGGTTTGAATTTCCGCTTAGTAAAAAAACATTAGTGTTCCATTTGGGACGACACTACATACATATACTACCCTGTTGAGTGTGTAAGTGCATAAGTACATAGTGCATGAGTGCATAGTGTATAGTGTGCCATTTGGGACGCAGCTTTACTTTGTTTGGGTGACACGTATATGATGAATAGTAAATAAACAAACATAATTTCAAGTAAACTAGCTAAAAGGAACTGTCAAAAACAAACGTAACCTGTCAACTAAGTTAGCGGAATTAAAGACCAAAACACACCTGTTACATGATAAAACACCATCTAGAATTAAATAATGCATAATAATATAAACATCATGAATATATACGGTCTCATTAACGTCAAATGAAAAAGAAATGCAAATAACACGCATGCTAACAAACAACTAACGTTAGCTCTGTGCTATGCTAATGACCCAAATAAGCTCATTAATATTCTAAAACGCAGCCATCACAAGGTGACACGACATAAAACATCATGTTAATCAGACAATTATAAAAGAAATAAGCATTCAATGCGTTTGTTTACTGAAATAGTAATATTTCCCCAAAGCTAACCTGGTGTGCTATCAGCACTAGCCACAGGCTGAAAAAGCTGCAAAAGATTTATCTTAATTAACACAGGCACGTGTGTTAAATCCATGCATACTCCGGAAATATGCTGTACATGTGTTTAAAAATAATATAATAATAAAGCAACAGTATCCGCATTTAAACAAGGAGAAGCTAACTCATGTAGCCGTAGCTAATTTTGAAAACAAACCCAAACAGGACCACAAAACAACAGCAAATCCTCACAGTTAACCAGCCTGAATTACCTCCAATATCATACCAACACCTGAAGTCTGCTGTGTGTCTCGTTTAGGCTTTATTTCATTCGTCGTGTCGCCTGTTTAGTCAGGGAAAGAAGCGCAGCATTATGGCGGAGGGTTTTTGTGCATCTGTTGTACCGCTTTAAAAAACAAGAGTCCATCCATGCGCCCTAATCCTCCAGCTCCCGTCTCAACCTCTACTGAGATCCCTACCTAGAACACACCTGTGCTGCTCAGGATGCTGTCTAGGTTTGGAGCTCAACAGGATTTTGACACATAATCATTATTTTAAGTTAATTAATTAATTTTATATATATATATATATATATATATATATTGTCGTTTGTAATTTTAAATCAAGCAGGGCGACTATTAAGAACACTAACAAAGAAAAAGAAAAGACCAACAAAAATAAATGAAATAAACATGCAATATTAAATGCCAATAAAATAATAATAACAATAAACTCATTCATTTAAATACTGTCTTGTAAATAACCACATCAAGTTCACAAAAGATGGCTTTAAACAACATTTTCCACACTATAACATAAAAAAATCAATGAAAATAAAAGGTGAAGGAATCAAAAATAAAGACAGTTTTACATCTCTAGACCACAAATTTTAAAAATATATAATTATAGTGGCAAAACAAGGGCGTCACGGTGGCTTTGTGCTTAGCACACACCTCACAGCAAGAAGGTCACTAGTTCAAGTCCCGGCTGGGCCAGTTGGCATTTCTGTGTGGAGTTTGCATGTTCTCCCCATGTTGCCGTGGGTTTCCTCCGGGTGCTCCGGTCCCCCCACAGTCCAAACACATGCGCCATAGGTGAATTTAATCAACTAAGTTGGCCGTAGTGTATGAGTGTGAATGAGTGTGTGTGGGTGATTCCCAGTACTGGGTTGCAGCTGGAAGGGCCTCAGCTGCATAAAACATATGCTGGATAAGTTGGTGGTTCAATCCGCTGTAGCGACACCTGATAAATAAAAGGTGTAGGCCAAAAAGAAAAAGAATGAATGGCAAAACAAGTACATCCTCTATATTATTAGTTATCTATACAATTACTTATAAATTAAAATTGATATTTTATTCATTCATTCATTCATTTTCCTTCGGCTTAGTCCCTTTATTAATCAGGGGTCGCCACAGCGGAATGAACCGCCAACTTATCCAGCAGGTGGCGCCTTTACAACAGCAGGAATAATAGTGTTTCCCTGGTTACTGCAGTAAACTAAGCAGCGTGATGTCAAATCCAGCAGGATTTGTTTGATTTTATAAACTAAACAGCATCCCATTTTCAAAGATTAAATTCAGGCAAACTTCAGCATTCATTTTCTTGTTGGCTAAGTCCCTTTATTAATCCGGGGTCTCCACAGCGGAACGAACCGCCAACTTATCTAGCAGGTTTTTACGCAGCGGATGCCCTTCCAGCCGCAACCCATCTCTGGGAAACATCCACACACACACTCATTCACCCACACACTCATACACTACCAACAATTTAGCCTACCCAAATCAACTGTTAGGCATTTCTTTGGACTGTGGGGGAAACCGCCAGAGCACCCAGAAGAAACCCACACGAACGCAGGGAGAACATGCAAACTCCACACAGAAACACCAACTGAGCCGAGGCTTGAACCAGCGACCTTCTTGCTGTGAGGCGACAGCACTACCTACTGCGCCACTACGTTGCCCTATAAACTTCAGCATACTGATATAAAAATTAATACCTTGTAAAATAGCATTTAATACTTTTTAAAGGCCCTACATTTCTCTAAATTGATTTATCAAATTTTTTATGTTTTTAAGACCCGGCGGACACCCTGTTTTTAAAACAAATAAAGCAATAAATAGTACACCTGAATAAATAAATAAAAAAATATTAACATATTTTATTTCAGCAAATGCAATATTTACACATTCTGTCCCAAATAACTCAAACTAAAACAACACAGGCATGACAAATAATACTAAAACTTTACATTTTAAGTTAAAACAGAACAGATACAAACATTAACATTTTAATTACAATACAAAATATTTTAATTGCAATTACTCAGCAATGCTAACGAGTGTAGTGACTAAACAGACGCAAACTGTAATGATAATATTAAAGGAAAATACCTTTTTAAAGTTATAAAACGCAACACTGCACATATTGGTTCTCTTGCATTTCTAAAAGGAGAGCATAATAATACTTTTTTATCTTTATTTGCTCTTTATTATTTTGTGTAGTGAACAAACAAACAGATTGAATAAAAAATAATTTATTAAAAAAAATCTGTAAAGTTAATATAAAAGATTTAATGACTTGAAATAACACTGGAGGTGTCCGTTATGTGTTCTTGTAGATTAAAGAGTAAATCCCGTATTTCTGTGGGCAGTGAATGGCCGGTGTCGAATTCTGCACGCGATATAAAGGCGTCTGCTGCTGCTTTCACTGCTGAATGCATGACCTGATCATCACCAGTCCAAGACGGAGCCTGAATCCTCTCGGAGCGCCTCGTGATGGAGCAGCGCAGGTGACCTGTGGAACAAACATTAAATGTATCATGAAATTAAAAGATGTTTTTTTTTATGTTGTTAGCATCAGTATGTTCCCTATAAACAGGGTTTCAGCAGGTTTCACCGAGTCAAATCTAAGACGTTTAAAGACCTTTTTAAAGGTCCTGTGAAGTGCTATGAAATATGCATTTTAATTTGATGTTTGATGTAGTCAACCAAAAGTGTAGCTCCTCCCCTTTTTTTAAAGCAACCAATATGATTAGATTTTAATTACAGCTCTGCCAGTATAAATGGTTGAGCTTAAGTGCATCTAATGAAAATCAAATGAGAAGTGTCTTGAAGGGGACGGGACATGTCAGATACTAGAGAGCGTTATGTGTATAAAGCCCTACATGGTCTTGATATATATCAAACAGGGCGAGGCAGTGGCGCAGTAGGTAGTGCTGTCGCCTCACAGCAAGAAGGTCGCTGGTTTGATCCACGGCTCAGTTTGCGTTTCTGTGTGGAGTTTGCATGTTCTCCCTGCGTTCGCGTGGGTTTCCTCCGGGTGCTCCGGTTTCCCCCACAGTCCAAAGACATGCGGTACAGGTGAATTGGGTAGGCTGAATTGTCCGTAGTGTTTGAGTGTGAATGAGTGTGTGTGGATGTTTCTCAGAGATGGGTTGTGGCTGGAAGGGCATCTGCTGCGTAAAAACTTGCTGGATAAGTTGGCAGGTCATTCCGCTGTGGTGACCCCGGATTAATAGGGGGACTAAGCCGACAAGAAAATGAATAAATGAATGAATCAATCAATCAATCAAACGGTCTTGTTCTTAATTGTGTCAGTGTGGTCAACTGTGGTAGTATCTTTTAATCAGGGGAAATTTTTCTGCTTTTTTTTATGTTACACCTTTTATACTCTCTTAGGCCCCGTTTACACAAGTGCGTTTTAGTTTTAAAACGGCGTTTTAGATCAAAAACTATCCGCATCCACACTAGCATTTCACCTAGCATCTACGAACATAACTACGCCACCAAAAACGTATATCACGTGACCATTCGCGCACTCTGGGCATGCGCGTTCTAGTATAAACAGAAAGCATGTGTCTTGCTCGGCATTTGGTTATTGTTAGTCAACAAATGCCAGTTGAACATAAATGGTTGAGCTTAAGTGCATCTAATGAAAATCAAATGAGAAGTGTCTTGAAGGGGACGGGACATGTCAGATACTAGAGAGCGTTATGTGTATAAAGCCCTACATGGTCTTGATATATATCAAATGGTGGCGAAGCAGTGGCGCAGTAGGTAGTGCTGTCGCCTCACAGCAAGAAGGTCGCTGGTTTGATCCAGGGCTCAGTTTGCGTTTCTGTGTGGAGTTTGCATGTTCTTCCTGCGTTTGCGTGGGTTTCCTCCAGGTGCTCCGGTTTCCCCCACAGTCCAAAGACATGCGGTACAGGTGAATTGGGTAGGCTAAATTGTCCGTAGTGTTTGAGTGTGAATGAGTGTGTGTGGATGTTTCTCAGAGATGGGTTGTGGCTGGAAGGGCATCCGCTGCGTAAAAACTTGCTGGATAAGTTGGCAGGTCATTCCGCTGTGGTGACCCCGGATTAATAGGGGGACTAAGCCGACAAGAAAATGAATGAATGAATGAATCAATCAATCAATCAAACGGTCTAGTTCTTAATTGTGTCAGTGTGGTCAACTGTGGTAGTATCTTTTAATCAGGGGAAATTTTTCTGCTTTTTTTATGTTACACCTTTTATGCTCTCTTAGGCCCCGTTTACACAAGTGCGTTTTAGTTTTAAAACGGTGTTTTAGATCAAAAATGATCCGCGTCCACACTAGCGTTTCACCTAGCATCTATGAACATAACTACGCCACCAAAAACGTATATCACGTGACCATACGCGCACTCTGGGCATGCGCGTTCTAGTATAAACAGAAAGCATGTGTCTTGCTCGGCATTTGGTTATTGTTAGTCAACAAATGCCAGTTGAACATTAAACGCGATGGCAAAGAAAGCAAGAGAGGTAATTTTGTGGACAGACGGCGAGGTCGAGTTGTTTCTAAACGTAACAAATGAATAACTGCACAATGGCGCCTAAAACAGACAATAGTGCAAACAACGCTCCCATTTCTGTGCCCATGTTGTTGTTTACAGTGAAGGCTAGTCAGCTGTCTTCCGGTAGTGTTAAAGCCATGTGTTATAGTCATGTGATAGGGGCTTGACGAATAAGGGTAGGATACGCAATGACACAAAAGACCCAATCAGGTAGCGAATCTCAGCAGTCCCGCCTCCGTTTTCAGATTTCTCCGTTTTCCCTCATCCACACTGAGATGGAGCAGCAGCATTTTAGAATGGAAAAAGGCCTCTCTGGCGTTTTCAAAACGCTCCGTTTTCGGTGCTCGAGAACTCCGGCGTAGTGTGGACGGATGACGTAATCGTAGCAAAACTTATGCGTTTTAAAACGAAAATCGTTATCCTTTATTAGTCCCATACAGTTTGTTTGTATTTTCTCTGTAAAGCACTTTGTGCGGGCTTGTGGCAGTTGGAAATGTGCTATATAAATAAATTGAACTTGAACTAGAGGGCATTGGATTGGTCAGAAGATTTGATGAGAAACTAAAGTATGAGGTAACGTAAATA